CCAAAGGAGATGTTATCGTAGAAATTTGTATATATATATATATAAAAGGAGGTTTTATTAATCTTTCAGAGCAATGAAGAATAACAGGAATCTAGGCAACTCCATAGGGCCAACCGAGACGACAGCATTGAGGCCGAAACTTGAAACGTTCGACGACGTTTTGCCATACGTCGGTGATTATGGGAGGTATCAGTGGCTGCTATTGCTGTCGTTGTTGCCTTATGGTATTATCTACGCGATCCTGTATTTCACGCAATTCTTTATTGCCATTATCCCCGCGGAGCACTGGTGCAAGATTGACGAGTTGATGACCACGAATTTCACACAGGAGGACAGGTGAATTTTTTCTAATCGAATTTAACAGCTTTTTTACCGAGGAAGTGAAGAGATACTTTTGACAATTTTAATTGAACAATTCTTTTTTAACGGAGGGAGACATCCTTCGAATGCTTAATTTAACACTGTTTCCTAAGTTTCGTCACTTCTCAATCGACCTTTCAACTTACCCTCATAACGATTATGAAATAGAATAGTAAATAAAATAACAAGAATAATTACACAGCTTTACGATCGTACTTTGCTGTCGCATTTTGATTAACCCCATTGCACTCGAAGCCATTTTAACTCTGAATTCAAAATAGTTTTTCTAACGTACAGTATTTCCATTTCGTATGACTCATGTGCATTTTGTATTGTACATAACATTGACTTTTATGATACTTTCAAAGACTTTTATGATTTTTTCAAAATACAAACAAATTTTAAGTGGTGAGTCGGAGTCACCAGTCGAGAGTGCAAAGGGTTAAAAGCGGCGGACATTACGAAATTAAGTTGGATCAGTTATTCGTTTTAACACTTGCATAATTTATGGGTTGAACATGGTGGAATTTAATCCTTTACTACCTTTGCAGATACATATATACATATATATACATCTATACATCGGTTATAGATTAGATTATTTTGTTTATTTATGCATTACGTATTTAAGTAATACAATACACGTTTTACTTGGAACATGTTCAGGGTGCAAATAGCAATACCGTCGTCGAACGACTACCCTTATTACGATCGTTGCTATCGAAAAGACCTAAACTTCACCAAGATACTGCGATCCGGCGAAGATCCACGATCCTATCAACTATGGACCAATCGAACCATCAAATGTACCTCTTGGGAATATAACTACACGCAGATTCCATATCCCAGCATTGGTACTGAGGTGAAGTACCTTTTACGCATCTTTTTTATTTTCACATTCAAAACGATTCAATTCCAAAGAAAACGTCTCACTTTTCGAAAATTGTTCCTGCTTCGTCCGTTGAGTTACACAACTGATTCTTATACGGAACGATTCTACAGACTCTCCCGAATGCAACCATATATTTTTAAACAACATTATAAAAGTTTGAACGTGTTTAAACAATATCTGAAACAGGCTGAACATCGCTAATCAAGAAAAATGGTACTTCGCGATGTCTCTCTTGCTTAAAATATTTTTTCAGCACAATCAAACAAGTCCAATATTATTAAAAAATATACCATTTTATTCGGGAGGCTTCGCAGAATCATCTCACGTAAGAATCATTTACCTAGCTCCTGCAGTTGCAGCGCAAAAAGTTCTCGAAGTTGAAACTTTCTTTTCCTTTGTAATCTCGAGCCCTAGATCATTAGTACGAGGAAAATAAACGAAGTCCAAAGAATCTCTAGACAGCGATTTTTCAGTACTTCTCACCGCCATTGTCTCCTTACGCTTCGTGATTAGCTAGATTGGGTATGCGACCGAGAATACCTCGTGTCAACAGCCCAGTCGATCTTCTTCTGCGGCTCGATCGTCGGCGGTTTCCTGATCGGATGGATCGCAGATCACAAGGGTAGGATCCCTGCACTGGTAGCCTGCACCACCCTCGGCCTTTTCGGCACCATTGCCACCGCCAACGCCAACAGTTTCTGGTCATTCGCGGCCTGCAGATTCTTCACGGGATGGGCTTTCGACAACTGCATCAATATTCCACTTATTATCGGTGAGCCTGAATGAAATTCTCGCGGGTGAGGCGACCAGTCTGCAGATAATTCAAAGATAAATGGCTAAAATTAATACGAGTTCAACGCGTACATAATGTAAACGATAATTTTTGAATCGGTCCGTTGCCTATCAAAATGGCTACACGAACCTTATTTATTTTCTATCCTATTTGAGCTTATTTATGTACGTGTTATGTATATATTAATATTACATATATTATAATTAATATCATTATTAATATTATTATATAGTTATATATTATATATATATATAATAATATATAAAATATATTATTTCGTATCATTATTATAGAATTAATATTATACATATATTATATATACTACATATATATTTATTATTTTATATATTATTTGTATTATATTATATATAATTATATATATGAATAAAATTGGCAACATCTGTATTTTATAATAATTAACTAATGACTTAATTGAGTCAAGGACAGGCAAATTTCATAAAAGAAAAGCAGGCTTAATGAAACTGTATCTTGATGCACTGTCAATGTATCATAATCGATGGTCACCTATGTCACCTAAGGAAATTAGTAATACCATTTCAAGCTGACATACAATTGTTATATATATATATTTTCGTTATAAGAAATTCTTGTCTTTTTCTTTTTGGGAAATTAATTGTTAACCCATCAAATGTTGATTATTTTACAGTTCTCGAGTATATGGCAGTGTCAAAACGCACTCTAGTCGTCAACGTAGCCTTCGGCCTATTTTTCGCAGCAGCCAGCACCATTTTACCATGGATGGCCTACTATATTTCGAACTGGAGGATTTTCACTTACGTCAGCGCGTTGCCATTATTGTCCGTGTTTATCACACCGTGGATTCTTCCGGAAAGTGCCCGGTACATAAGTATACATTTGAAATTGTTTATATCAAATTGCATCGATACGAAATTGTGAACATCTAATTGTTTTCGAGATGGTACGTTTCGAACGGGAGAATGGACAAAGTTCTGGAGAAATTGAAGAGGATAGCTTCGATAAATCGTAAGAAGCCGGATCCGCGTATTTACGATGCTTTCGCGAACGTGAGTACAGTAAACGGTGCTTTAAAAGATTAATAACTGGACTTGTAGATTTTTATGTTGAATTTTCGTACATAATTTCACTGAAATAAGAGAAAAATTTCTTTTAAAAGAATCGTTGTTATGAAAGTAAATAAAAGTATGTTTATCAATAAAAATTAATTATATCTTCATTTTACTCTTGTCATAAATATGTGTGTCAATAAAAATTAATAATATTTTTATTTTACTTTCGTCATAAATAATGTGTATAAATAAAAATTACTAATATTTTCATTTTACTTTCGTCATAAATAATGTGTATCAATAAAAGTTACTAATATTTTCATTCTACTTTCGTTATAAATATATGTATCAATAAAAATTAATAATATTTTTATATTATTTTCATCGTAAGGACTCTTTCATCCAATGAAAGTAATTTTTCTCTCATTTCAGTCTTCATAAAATTCAAAAATCACGTATACCAATGAAAATTAACAATAATTGAATTTAAACTCGAAATTGTTGAGCACAACAACGCGAATGAAACTGAAAGACAATCGATTTGATACTGTCGGCTAGTTGAACATGTACAGATTTGTTAATTATTTTAGGCGAACGTCGAGGTGTCGGCACGAAAACGCGAATCAGCGACCATCTTTGACCTCTTCAAGTCCCCTAGACTGGCCAGAAACACCATTCTTCTAGTTCTGTTCTGGTAAGTATATTAGAATGATCGAAACTATAAAAAAAGAAAATAATTAACGAGCAACTGTTACCTTTTGCAGGTGTTTAACCGTGATCTCGTTCGACGGCCACGTCTATTCATTGAAACTTCTTCAGAGTTCGGTGTTCGTGTCATTTTCCCTCGCATGTTCCACGGAACTTCCGGCTGGGTTGCTGTTGACACTTTTGTTGGATCGGTGGGGCCGCAGACTCTGCGGATTTCTCAGTTTGGGAGTGACTTGCTTGCTAAGTATCGCCGAACTCATGCTGCATTCCAGTAAGCGTACAGAAATTAATTGAACGCCAACTTTCTGATCCCTGACATTTATATTTACAATAAATTCCACCTAATTTTCCTTCGGCTTGTAAGCAAAAATGAACAGTTTGGGAAGAGGAGATACGATTATTCGAGCCTTGCACCTCGTTTTTATAATTGTTGACAATCAAATTGTCCATTTGTGTTCACAAGCTGAAGGAAAATTAGGGAGAATTTGTATTTACTTATTTATTGTATTATATATTATTTTATTATTATTTGTATTTATTTATTTATTTATTTACATTTATGTACCTCTATCTTTGCATTGAAACTGCGTCACGTTGTTGACATTTAAACTGTCGTAACTTTCTCGAAACGAATCGCACGAAATTAAACTTTGCTTCATCACAAAGCTTGAAACCTCTACTTTTGCAAACTAAAAACGTAAACAGCAGACGTTTGAAAAGAATGAACAATTCGCACGTTTTTATATGACATAGTCCGTGGGTAACCGAAGACAAATTGATCTCAAAAGAGATTGTAAATCGAGGAATCTCTAGAAACGTTAAACAATTATTTTCTTCGCCGAATATACTATAGTTTCGAGGATTGAAATTTCCTCTTTTGCGACGACTCCTGAAAGCTCGACGTACAATTTTTCTCGGTGGTTTTACCAAGCTTTCAGCAATCCCTGAAAATGCTTGTAAGAAAGTTCAAGAATATCCCATTTATTTGATATTTTTCTTTGCAGCGGTTGCTAAACTAACAATGTCAGTTATGGCACGATTTTGCCTGAACATGGCGGCGAATATCGGTCTTCAGTATGCTGTGGAGCTGCTACCAACGCCTGTTCGATCGCAAGGTGTATCGCTGATTCATACTGTCGGCATTATTGCACATACTCTGGCCCCGTATATAACTGATTCGGTAAATTATTAAATTTTTATCGTCATTCTGTGTGCATCATCTACGTGCACACGTTAATTCGTTTAATACGTTTCACAGGCGAAAATATGGGAAAGTTTCCCGATGCTGATCATCTCCACAGTGTCCTTCATGGGCGCCATGTTTGTTCTGTTCCTACCGGAAACCCTCGGCCAAGATTTACCTCAGACTATTAATCAAGGCGAAGAATTCGGCAAAGACCAGAATTTCTGGTCGTTACCGTCCAAACAAAAATCTCTGTTCGAACAGCCACCTCATTACCAAGCTTGCGAACGATAAACGATCAAAATACTTGATTTTATTAGAACGAGGTAGAAGAGAAACGGCGGAGGAAGCGTTCCATCTCACTAGGATACAATTGTAATACAGCAGCAGATATAGTGCCCGTTAGTGTTCAAATATTGTTCGTATTCCCGTTACTTTTTGATTTCATTATTCTATTTTAAGAATCCATTTTTTTAAATATCGTCCTCGACATAGATACGCATCGAGTCAGCATGGCTGACAACTTTTACGTTCCCATTTCGTTTTTATTTCATTGTTAGTCGATATTTTAAGTAATTTTTTATTACACCGTTAGGTATCGAGTTAGATATCTCAATTAGGATCGTTTAGTGGTTGACACGTGAACGATTCGATGTCGCCTTTTTAAGAATACGTTGTCGTAAAAATCGGATCGTCAAGATTTCATTATGTGGCAGTAATCAAATCGGACACTTTTATCCTTTAAGGAGGTGAAATATTTTAGCGTTCGACAACCTAGGTGAATAAGTAACCATACGTTTCGCCAATTGTATTGGATAAAACAAACGATCGTTGAGAATTTGGAAGAGGATCAATTCATAAAATGAAGTGTCAACTATTGAACGATTCTATGTACGCTACAATTGATCGAGTAATTTAGTAACGCAAATTGTGCCATTGTTTTAGATAGTGCTCATTATACAATATATTGTGCCAGGCAGCAATGTCAGTAACCAATGAATAATTCGGTTCCCGAGATTTAATCTCAGAAGCCGACACTAACAGATTGATTCTGTAGTGTGGCCACGACACATTCGAATCTTAATTAACACTTCTTTTACCATTTAATTTATTTCAGAAACAAACTACGTGTATAATTGACGTTTTCCCAAATGTGTTCATATTTTCAAACTATTATGCAAGTTATAAGTTACTCCTTCAGAAAACCGATATTTTCTGTTTGTTAACAATAACAGCAAATTGTATACGCCTATGCACTATGTTCCTTTCTAAATCACTATTAATAATAAGTAGACCGCGGATTTTTATGCAAATTTAAAAATTGTCTGGATCGATTCGAAGACATAGATACTAACTGGCAAGTTCATTCTTTATATTGTATTAGGTGGACCGGAAAGTTATGTCGTTTGTTTACATTAAATTCAAACAGATAAATATGCGCAGAAACGACATTACTTTCCGGGGTCCCCCTAATAGTTTTAATAGATTAAAAATCATACGCTGGCATTTTCAATTTCTTTTAATCTTTTCACTGCATGGAATTGTATTTATCCAATTTTGCCATAAATGTATAAAATTCGCAGTCTAATAATAAGTCACCACTCGTTAATAATAAATGAGACATTCATAAATTTTTTGCGGAGATTGTAGAGTATAGTGAAAGTCAATGTCTGGCTTTCTCGCAAAGTAAATAGGAGGCCGTCGATAATACATATGTAATACTTTTAAGACAGAAGAGAAAGAGAAGTTAATCGTTTAAAATGTACGTACTGAATCATAAAAATGTCGGTAAATTCATTGACGAATTATACGAAACGTTACATGCCAGCACACTTTTTATAATTATGCATAATATATAAATTTAACATCCATTTGTTTTGTTTGTATTTATTTCAATGACAATAACGGACAATGCTTCAAGCAGACAATTTGTTTACAAACAAATTAAATAATCATAGTTATTAGGGATTTTAACTTGCATTGATTATTCATTTACAATTTTAAAAAATTTTAAAAACTATAGTGATTAAAAGTGTTTGTATTTTACGGGTTATTTTGAATTGACTTTAATATGTATTCCCGTAGAAATGTTCAAACTTCCGAGGGCTCAAATTGAAGCTGAAGAATCATATTTTGTATTGTACTGAATGTTATTTAAAATCGAAGAAGTCTCCAAAAGATTTATAAACTTGTCGTCTCTATCTTTTCTTGTTTAAATAAATCGAGTGAATGTGGCGCCGCTGTGACGACTTTTAGAAGCTCGCTTCGGGGTTCGTACAGCGTCAATTAGTGTAGTGGCAAAACGCTCAAACTGTTAGCCACAATCAGCTATCGGTAATTTGAATAGCAGTTTGAACGTTTTGCCATTACATTAATTGGCGCTGTACGGACCTGAAACCGAGCTTCAAGATTTCACCACAAAGAGTGAGCTAGTTGTCAAATACGGCGCTAATTTTAAATTTTCAACGAGCTTCGGGATTTTTGGAGATGAATTTCGATCAAAGAAATATTAGAGAGCAGTGAAAGCAATTTTATCGTTATATCACTTTTTAAATATTATTTTAAGTAGCGTGTTATTTTATTTCACAATTATTTCAAATAATTATTTGAGATAATTGTAATATTGTACTTGGAAATTTGATAGTGATCAGCTCTAATTATCACCTCTGAGCCTGGTTTACACGAACATCCTCATTGACATTTCTGCAAATAAAATTTCTACGATCTAAGTATATCAAATAATTATCCGATAATAAAACAGCAGTGTTTTTTCAAAGCAAACTGCTATAAAGATTTCTTGAAATAAGATCTTGTTGCATATTATTTCGAAGACTATTTCTTTTGTTATATTCGAAATAAAAAATAATGAAATAATTCATTAAGTCGAATTATTTTACATAGTTATTTCTTATTTTCACTTCAAAGAAAATTTGCTCAGGTCTGTTCTATGAACATGTATTTATCTCATTTGCATTACGACAGGTTTTATGATTCGGTAGCCATACATTCATTTGGGCGCACACGTCTGTACATAATTTGCATACTGAATACAGATTGGTTCTCAAAAAACGCCGAAGTTTCTTACCTGTTCAATTACATAATCATAGACTCAACACTAACTCTTGCAACCTTTGGTCACGGTGGCGGTACTATCGCAACAACGAATTGTCAGCCAATCCCAACAAGGAAAAACTTCAGTTACCTTCTTCATTGTGTCATTTTGCTTTCCGAATTCTACATTACAGAGAATTTGTATACATATTGATATGATCAACAATTTTTCTCATTGTCATTCATAGAAATAAAAAAATATGTAATATTATTTCCACCTAGCTTTACATCACCTACGTGGTATATATACATATATATACATAGTACGCAATTATTGCATGACACAATCTCTGCAATTCTGTAGACAAGTATCAACACAGCGAAAATATTACATACACTTATATTTGTAATTTTACCTACATTAAGAATGATTGACTTAGATACGTAAAATAATGTCTCTATTCAAACTTCATTAATCTTGTAGCGCACCACAGTGAAATAGAAAATTAAATTAATGGTACTATGTGTTTCATATCTCTTTGGTTTCTAGCGCCCTCTTCCTTCACTTATTTAGATGGCGCTAAGGAGATGTTATGAAACAGAAATTCGAGTATCCCATCTATTCCCTGTCAATTGTAACTTCTCCTCAGATTGATTCTCTTCGGTTTCGCTGATCTCGAGTACACAAAATCCTCTTTGAGATATTTCTTATTGCCTTTATTCACCTGGAAAAGGGTAGTTCTACAGTTGTACGTGCATTTATGTAAGTAAAAGAACAAATTTCATTAATACCAGCCCAACAACTTTTCGTTTTCGTGACAACTGGAACCAGTTCGTACATCACACGCAGTATAACATTTTCGTAGATTTCAGCCATCGTGGTCTCATTGCATGACCTTAACCTTAGAAATAATAGACTACTTAAAATATACGAATTTCATACGAATTTCGAGTAACAGTAATAACTTTCATGTATCCGACAACTATAAGTTATGATATAAGACGGTATATTTAACAAAAGGCGCCATTTGATAGCGAGCTGCCAACAGCAGTTCCAAAGTTAAATGTTACGTGCCTTGTCTTCGTATTATAGTCCGCCTGACCTTATAACGCTATAAAACGGACAATTTCGGATAAGAATACCTTAAATTGTGATTTACAACGAAAACAATTCATATATACGACTTAAACATTAATATTCTACGATAGAAAATGTTTTTTACGATGTGCGAACAATATTTTAGCAACAGATATAGCACAAAAGTTACAACGGAAATTTGTTTAAACGTATCTTTAATTTGACCTTGTTTCTGAGTTAAGGCCAATTTTAGGTCGACTGAGTTACTAATAATTATTTATATAAGTAATACGATTATTTCTAATTTATTAGATATTTAAGCTATGTCATTGTGTAGAAAGATAACAGTTATGAGTACATATAAAGAATGGATCAGTAGAGTGTTGCAGGCTGATTCTGAAATTATAGCACATATAAATTTCATTTTTTTTAAATTAAATAACTGAGGAGAGAAATAGAGCATCATTTCATGTGCAACACAAATTTTTCTAGGTCACTGTGAAGTATAGAAAATGAGGTCCTTTTTTCCAATTTTATTTAAAGAGTATCTCAAGAAATTAAAAGTATATAATATTTACATAGAGTATTTTTTTCTTTTTTGCATACTTCAAAAG